ATCCGGTTTCTGTCTTCCACCTTCTGCAGCGACGGCTTCGCGAAGAACACCGCCGCATCCACTCCCCCTTCTTCTCCATCGAACTTCTTCACGCTCTCCCCCAGATCCAGCAGGAACCCAATCGAGTCTGTCACATCCTCGACTTCCGGCACCACCTCTACCCCCTTCCCGAAGAACTTCAAGAACACCACTTTTCCCTCCCCACGCTCAAGCGTCTTCACCTCCAACTCCGGCTCCTTCTCCGGCTCCGCCTCCTTCTCCTTCACCCCCCCCTCTCCCTCTTTTCCTTTCTCTCCCCCCTCCTTCTCTCCCTCTTCCCCCCCCGACTCTCCTTCCACCTCTACCCCCGCCTTCCCCACCGTCAGCTTCTTTGCAATGTCACTGAGCGTCACCAGCCTCAGCTTGCCCGACCCTGGCGCCGGCGCATTGATCTCCTTCTTCCAGAGCGCAGGGATCGACCGGGGCGCGGATCCTGCGAAGTCGCTGTCCGTACGGACGCCTAAGGCGCAGGCGACCCCCAAAGGCATCGGCTTGCCCCCGAACAGATCTCGGCTGTCTTCTCCCTTGTCCGGCCACTTCTTCTTCCCCTTCCTCTCCCCCTCGAACAGGGCCTCTGTCTCGAACTTCAGGAAGTACTCCTGGTCCTCAACGGTCAAGCCCTTCTCTCCGTTCTCATCAACCGTTATCCCGGCCCACTTCTCAGCGTACGGGATAAACGGCTGGTACAGACCCTTGTACCCGATGTCAGCCAGCTGGTTCATGGTGAGGACCTCTTCGCCAGTGGGGGACCGAATGTCTTCGATCTTGTCGGGAGCGACGCTGCGGAAGTACCTATAGATATGCAATAATTGTAGAGGCTTGAGAAGCTTGTTCTTTGGTACCGTTCAACGGGAACAGTACCGCATCCAGGTAAGCCTGATGGAAGACTCACATACTTCTGTAAGATTGGGACTTGAGAATCGTGCAGTACAAAAAGCTCGAGCATAAATAAAGTCACAATGAACAATTGTGTTCATCCAACAATATCCTGTACGACAATTTATCCCGTTAAACGGGACAAAGCAACCCTATACAGACCACGACCGAAAACAGATACATCACGAACTTGTCGGAGGACTCGCATTACCGCTACAAGAGCCATCATATCAAGATCAAAATGCAAGACTCAAACTCTCAAGACGACAGTAACAACAGAATGTTTCGTCACTGCTTTGTCCCGTCCAACGGGACAAAGCATTTTCTCTTACATGAGCAGGATGCGCTTCTTCACACCCTCCAGGCAGCTCGCGGGCTTCCCCTTCTTCAGGTCCTCGTTCATGCGGCTGCGGATGTTGATCCCCGTCGTCAGGAACATCCACACGAACGGCCTCTCGATGAGGTGCTCGTAGTCACCCCACAGCAGTGCCTTCACCCAGACCCAGAAGGGGATGGCGTCCTTGAAGTACTTCTGGCGCGCTGACCCCTTCCACCCCGGGAACTCCATTGGCTGCCTCTTCTCCCCCTCTTTCTGCGCCTCCACCCACCCCACCTCTTGCAGCCAGTCTACCGCATACTCAGCCCCGAGCAGCAGCACCTTCCACGCCACCATCATCGGCTCCAGCGTGTCCTTCTTGAGAGTCAGCGCCATCCTCTCGAGCTTCTCCTCCCCCGCAAGGTAAATCTCGAAAATCTCTATGTCCCCTTTCGCCGACAGCCCGAGCTCCTTCTGGACCGTCAAAATTTCCGCATTGGCAAACTCCACGGTCAGGTGCTTCATGTTGTTCATCCTGCGCAGGTAGTCTTCCCAGTACGGGAACCCTTTCGAGTCCACCTTGTTGAAGCCCGCTGCCCCCAGCATCTTCTGCATCTTGCTCTTCTCGTGTTTCACCACCGCGTCCTTTTCCGCTTTCGTCCAGTTCCTCCCAAGGTCCTTCCCGTTCTGATCCACCCCGTTTGCCAGATTGCACAACCGCTTCAGCAGCATCTGGTCCTCCAGGAAGCAGTAGACCAGGACGTTGTGGCCCGTCGCCTCGTTCTTCTTTGTTGTCCGGGCGTCGATGTTGAGCTCCTGCTTGAGGTACTTGACAGTCTGCAGATGTGACAAGATAAATGTTAGCTTATTGAAAGAAGTTCTGTGTGTCAAGAACGTTCACGGAACGCAAATCTATTACATACTGCCAAAAGAACATACATCAATAAAGTTCTAGCAACCCTGCAAAGGTATCTGCGTTGACAGATTTATTTCGGTCTTTATCACAAAAAATGAACAATTGCAAAAGATCAACAACAATTCCATATTTCAATTTTCCAAAAGTCTTATTTCATTATCCAAAACTTTCATTCAGATCGTCACAGAGTCTTGTATCACTTTGCGAACCTGTTATGTATTCTTGAAAACTATATACTCACCGAGGGGCGCACTTTGACTGCCACTTCCTTTGCCGTCATCTTCCTCTTTGTGTGCAGCAGGTGCAGCTTCTGCAGCATGTTGGTTGGCATCTGCGCGTGCGTCTCTGACTCGTTGATCTCTTCAGACAGCAGCACCAGCGTTCGACAGTCCTCCAGCGTCACCTCCGCCAGCTTCAGGTGCACTCTCGGCACCTTCTTGAACGGCGTCGTGTTGAGGCGAATGGCCAGCTTCCAGCCCAGGCACCTGTACAAAAAAATCTCTATCATTCTTCTTGACAAGACAAAGCCCGCAGAAAAACACAAATGATCCATTGTTGTGCACTGCTACTTTGTCCCGTTCGACGGGATTATAAACTACAGAAAGAGGATAGAACAACCAAAGTATTCTAAATCAAGTTCATTCTTGTATTGCGAGATGTAATTTTCACGTTCAACGGGGGAATACTGAGGGCAACGCCAGTCTTATAAACCTTGTATTTCAACCTCACTACTTTGTGAACATATGAACGTTTCCATCCATTTGTCCCGTTCGACGGGACAAGAACCGGCTGGAGAAACTGAGACAGTATCTACTATTCCCAGGAGAGACTTTATCTATAAGCTCTTTTCCCGTTCAGCGGGATAAGACTGACAGCAGAAACACCTCTTGAAAAAACTACCACCAAGCTTTACCTTGAAAAATTAAAAACTGATCCATCCTTTTGTCCAATTCGACGGCACAAAACCCTTTCACAACTCACCTGGTGTTGCCGTCGATGAGGAACACGTAGTACCCCAGCACGTTCCGCTGCACCCAGCAGCACTTGACGTCCTTCAGGACTGCCCCGCGCAGAATCTCCGCCTCCCATTTCTCCAAGTCCGCTCTCAGTGCCGGGTCCATTCCGTTCCTGTCCTCTTCCGTGATCCTTCGGACCCTCTTGCCGAACACCCTGTTGACGCCAAGGAAGTACCCCTTCCCCGGATCGTACCCCCTCAGGTTGTAGACGTTCATCTGGTTGGTGATGGCTTCCTGCGTGGGCTCGCGCTCTGACAGCTGAACCGGGTCGCCGTTGGGATCGTTAGGGGGGATATGAGGGGGCAGATCTGATGCTGGGAGCAGCATTGCCAGGGGGATGTCGATCGCTCCAAGATCATTGCGGATCAAAGGGGGGATGATGTTCTCCTGATCGACGTCTACCGTCAGACGGCGATTCTCCTCCTTCTTGACAGCATCCCACACGTCCAGCTCCTTTTTGCGCTTTTTGCCCTTGCCCTTGCCCTTGCCCTCGAACGCCTTCGTAGGGTCGTATCCCTGCATAACCCGAGAGTTACTGACGTCAAACAACAACACGCGTGTTCTTGTCATATTACACGTTTCAATTACCGTTGCTAATAATGCCTTCTTCTTTGTGGTTTGAACAAACATCTGGTGAGTTCAAAACAATCAAGCCTGTCGCTTCCTTCTAAAGAGACGACCTCGAATCGACACAGAAGTTTATTGAATGGGCAAACATCTTCTGACTGTGCATGAAGGAAGTTGCTGTCTTGCGAGCACACCTCAGGCGGTTCTGGTAGTCGTCCTGTGGGCAGGATCGGCTCGTCCTCATCTACTGGTAGCTGGGGGGGGGGGTTGTCGACTGGGCCTTGGGTCGGAACCAGATGTGGCGGAACTTGCACCTGGAACATTGCCTGCGTAGGGAGATGTTTGCATATTTGGAATTGCAGCATAGATTTCAAAATACAAGGACATACTCGGACATACACAACCCGTTTCAAGGGCAGCACGAATCTGTCAAGAACAGGACATCTCGTGTATTAGGTGTTCTCTCACCTGCGTCGAGCCTCCAGCTGCACCAGCAGCTTGCTGGGTGTTCGAGGGCCCGCCTACGCGCTGTCGTTTTTGTCGAATCTGGAAGAAAGCCAAGGAGCTGTTTTCAGAGGCAGCGTGACATATAATGTTTCTTTGTGTACACAACTAAGAAAAGAAGGTGGATGTATCAAAGCAATTTTAGAGCGCATAATACATTAGCAATAAGCATATAAAACACGATTATGATGGCTTACCTCCTCAGCCATCAGCTCCATGCGTTGCGAACCACCGTAAGTCGGGTCCGATGTTGGGAACAATGCTTCGGCAAGGTTGACCTGAAACCAGTGTTTGACAGACCATTAGGATGGAGTCTTTGCCTCTAGCA